GTTGACCCTGTCCCCTGCCACTTCCCGATCCCTTGTTTCTGTTTCCGCGTGAATCTGCGCCATGTCACGCATTCTCGTGTAAGTGTAATGATTGTAAGCTTGAGCAGCTTGGAAATCCTACGTACGGGGCGTTGATGCCATCACCCCCTTCTTGCAAGCAGGTGGATGGTGCTTTGGAGCTAAAGCTAAAATATGAACAAGTGATGCCAGCAACAAGCCCCTGCTGAAGGTCATCAAAGTAGCAAGGCTGTTCCCGCTCCTAAGCCTCTCCTAAGCCTCTACAGGACAACAGGTAGCAAGCAGCCTCTTCATGTTTTTTCTTCTCTTGGGGATTGAGCGCATTGATTTGTAGGAGGCCAGGTAATTGTGTTGCTCACGCTTCTGCTGAACACCCACATCGGGCAACGTTTTGCAGGCGGCCTTGCACCATACAGGCCCCGTACGGCGCTTATCAACCCTGGTCAACACCGCATGCATACAGTAGATCCCTGCCACCTGCTCCTCCTGCCTCCTTCCCGTCCCTAGCGTCACTAGCATAGAAAAAGGCACGGAGACATCATATAAAAGTGCAATCGAGTGGCAATCCAGCAAGAGATATAACAGCAGGAAACGCAGCGGAAAGGCAAGCTTAAACGGGACACCATTACAAGCAGAAAGAATCGAGCTTGGCGAGGGTGGTTTGAACAACGACTTTAAAGAGATCCCAAGCAAACTAGTATCAGTCACTGAATGCATTGGAATCAAACTCCGGGTCCGTTTAATGCGACTGCCTCTCAAAGTGCCAGCTGGATGACGGGTCAGAATAAAAAGTAGAATATAATTTGGTTGCTGCTTCCTCCTGCGAGCCGAGCCTGAGTCGGATGTAACGTACGCATTCCATCCCTCCTTTTTGCGGGAGGGAATATGCAGAATGGCGCCACGATTATCTGGATAGACCCAGGTGCTCCGCGGAATGCTAGGACTAGGAGGCAGGTGTTGTCTTTCCTCGCCCTTCCACCGAACCTGTGCTCAATGTACACTGCTAGGCGTTCCTTGCTCTCTTGCACATGCTGAAGGTTTGCGATGCCACGTAACCGAACGTGAATGTATGCGTCCGCGAGTACTCGATACAGCAAGCTCCTACAAGCTGGCAGCTCAGCGCTGCACAATGCCGCCGCACAATATCGAAGGCAGGCCCGGAAGATTCAATTTACAAGCGTACTTCATGCGTAGCCATGGCGCGGTTATACTGTGCGTCATGTCTTCTCTGCCAAGGGCAGATTTGAGCCCGGGCAAGCTTTACGCTTGTCTTGGAAATCCAAATCTCTATGTTCAAGAGGTTCAAGACGGTGTTCAGTTCAAGAGGTTCGGATTTTCAGTACTCTTTGCACCCCAGATTTTGTCACCCTGCAACACCGAACCTACAGATTTCTGCCGCGACAGGTGGAGCAATATACTTCAGTTCGTGTGTTGCGGTACTGCACGACAACCAACGACATGACTGATCTGGCCACGCGAGCAGACACGCCGTCAAGCCGAAGACCGAGTTCCCAACCCAATGCTCAAATTGCTCACATACGTTCACTAAGCTTTGCACCGTCGCATATGTCTCAAGATGTTGAGTTCCACCTGAGACATGCCATGAAAAGGCACATCGACGATGTATGCGTCTCTATTCCATGCCTCCTCGTCGGAACGGAGGAGGGTGCTCTCCAGCAAACCGAATTCTTCCTGACGGGTCTTAGCGAAGTTGGTACATTTACAAAGGTAGCCTTGGTGCTCTTGCATCTTCATTTGCTGTGCTGGGTGCTGCCAGGCGCCTCCAGAGCAGAGGTGGCCCCATCGCCTGAAGCTGCACCTGATGGCGAGAACGTGCAGCGTGCTCACGACAGCGCTGCACCAGGCCTCCTATCAAGTTCTGGGACGCCAAGCCCTTGCCACAATGACATGTCGCACAGACTTCGGACGGTGGAGCAAATACTGATGATACCGTTCGCCCGGGTAAGCTTCTAACACCTTGGCGGAGATGTTGCTTAGCCGAGCTGACCAGTACAACTGGTGCCAACCTCGGCCCCCGCGGCATGTGGCATATCACTCGAGCTCCGGTTCCCCGTGCTCACTAAGGAGTCAACAACAAGCCTCTAAGGAGACGAACTCCCTGCACATCGAAATGCCAAGCTAAATCAGAATCTCTGTGGCCCAGAATGTCGCCGAGCGAGCCTTCATTGCAAGCAGAAGCCTCATTCGTGCACGAATGGATACAACGGTGCGGTTGCAAGGCAGTGTCTTCAAGGGGCTCCTAGCTTCCGGCCCAGCCATTGCCCATGAATGAGCAGGCCAAGACGTCACCCCTCCCCCGGCATTTGGAGAGGGACGCTGCGGAGAACATGCACCAGAACCTCTGAAACCAGATAGCAACAGTTGGACTTACCTCCACCTGCTGCTTCACTTGTTGATGGTGCAAGTACTACTGATATCATAATATCTAGCGAATCTACTGATTACTGGGAGGACTTTGTGGCAAGGGCAAACCTGGAATGCGGATCACACAGAGAGCGGCATATTTCGCATATCCAATATGAAGAATATATGAATATGTTCCTGCAGGTTTGTCATTGACAATGCAGCACTTCAGGGGGCTCTCGTTGCAGGGCTGGCATCCGCTGGCGCTGGCCTCCTGGAAGTTCTTGCACGAGCATGCCAAGAGCGCTCTTTGTGATGCCCCTGCCAGCAGACTTTGAAGCCTACTGCGCGGTGTGGCATCCTGCTTTATCCTGAACCTCCGGCAAAGTGTGCGCGGTGTTTGCCCGTGGTGCTCCTGCAAGCTTGCGAAATTGCCACATCTCACGACTCGGCATGCTGCTTGGCAAGACAGCTTCCTGTTCGAGGCTTCGCAAGAGAAGGCAGCAAAGCTGCTATTCCTGTGGAGTCCTCAGCTGCTCACAGCCGGAATGAGAGGGGTTGTGAAGCCGTAACGAAAGACTGCGATTCCCGCCTTTGGCAGGGTCGGCTCCTTCTGCAGCTTTGCCAGCAACCGTGAGACGTGGCCGGATGATAGTCCTGAGCCCAGTGGCCAATGCCACAATGCCAATGTCTTGTGCTTTTGCTTTGAAAGCTTCGTGCCTACCGTGCCAGGTGTTCGCACGAAGTGGGCTGCAATGAGAGATGGCTGACTTTGCAAGCCTGGCAAAGGAGCACGTGCTTGCTTGGGATCCCGAGTCGGGTTGATATGTCTTGATCCAAGCTGTCTAGGTCACTGGCTGGTGGAGTCCAGTGACAGATCCATGTCATCCACCACAGCATAACCCTCCACTTGGTCGCGATGCTCTGATAGCCAAGTCCAAATATGCTCAACTCGTCCTGGGCCAGCTTTGAGTCAAACGCTGCCTTCACTCCGTGCAGCTCGACACTAAAGTATGACTCCGCAAGTCACTCCAAGCTTCTATCTGCACCTTCTCCAGGTGTGACCGAATACACGGGCAGCAGCCCCCACCTACGAAGCACCAGGTCGACTGCCTGCCGGCCTGACAAGTCGTAGCCTAGTCGTAGCCTTCAAGGCTGCGAAGTCAACGGAGGACAAGACTGAGAAAAGGAGAAAAGAGGCCTCCAGGCAAAGCGCGCCATGCACTCGACAGCACCACCCGTGCTCCCGAGCAAACGAGAATGCGTGCGAGGCATTTCCTGGCACTTCCGTACGATGAGGGCCGGTCGAAGCATGAAATAGCCATGAGACCGGAGAGAAGCGATGTCTTGCCAGGTGTCATAGCGCGGGGTTGAAACAGCCCATATTCTCCGGTGGCAAATTGCGTCAGCGAGGAGTCCTGCGGTATGAAATTCACAGCAACAACTTTTGGCATTGGCTCCGGGGACTCCTCTGAGCCAAGGGCCGTTTGAAGCTGGATGCCGCAAGAGGCCGGATGCAAGACGCCATCCACATCTAGAAAGAGGACCCGGACCTCCGAATTCCGAAGGGCTCGGCCGAGGGGACCCGGCGAGAGCTTGCAAAGTGCAAAGAGTCTTTATGAGTCTTTCGCGTTCAGCGGTTGACAGGGAAATTGCGGTACGAATAATTTGGCTTCTGCCTGCGCGAATGAATCTATTCCAAGGCTGCCGTTGCAAACGTGGAGACGTAGAGGCGGTTTCGCAATCGCTGGCACTCAGTGTGAGACTCTACGCGGTGCGCCGTAGTAGCAGAGGGGAACAACGGCGCAGAACGACTGACCCCTCCACCCCTCTCTGTCGAAACCGCTACAGTACACAGGCGCCGCATGGACACGCAGGAAAAACGGCAGAGGGTAACCTAGTCGATTCTTGGATCTCTGCTTGATGTGGTGATGTTTCGAATGGACTCAAGGCCGACGCCTTCCATGCGGGTACTCATAACCCTTTCGTCGCCGCTCGATCCATCTCGAAACCAAGCGGTTCTGCAGTTCTGCGCCGTGCCCTCGGCGGTACGCCCGCCGACCCTCACTCCGCACAAGCACGCAATCTGCATACATGTGTATGAACGAAGCCTTTGCTGCCAGGCCTGTGGTGCATATACCTGTAAACAGAACTTAACTGGTGCTAGTCCTGGAGGCCTTCGGCTTCGATCTCGGCGGCATGGCCTCCCTATCGATACCTGAAAAGCTGGTTGGCTTGCGCCACATGGGTCGCAGCTGAACTGTTACTCCCAGTGATCTATGCCGTATCACTGCGTCCCTTCCAATCCCAGGGAGCACATTGACATCATGCAGCATCTTAATTACTTGAGACTGGCCCTGCTTCACTTGAGCCATGTGGAAAGGCAGGCGAAGCAAGCACAACGAGTGAAGCGACACTCCAGACCAAAGTACCTGAAATGGCTGATACACAGTCTCCTTGCATAGTGACCGGGGGGACCAAGATAAGCCCTGAAAAAACAAAAAACGTTAAACAGGCCTTTGTCAGAGAAAGCACGAATAAAGATTCCCATATCAGGGGTTCAGCACCATCGGAGGACAATGATTAGTTCCACTCGAAAATGGTCTTGCACCGGAATCCTCCGTTCGCAGGGTAGGAGGCGGCTGGGGCTGCCATGGAAGAGGCCGGCTCCTTGAACACCTTGGTGCCTCAATATGGACAATGCCATCCTATTATACCTGCTGACGATTTCAAGAAATGACACGGGCCCTACCTGGAGACGCAGTTCAATCTTGTGGACCTTCGTATCAGTGGACAGAAAGACTTGACATCATCCTGTATTGCGGGATCTTGTGGAATCCGAGAAGAACAGCATAGACTGATGGTGAGGTTTGGGTTCACTCCTGCTCATACTTGCGGCGGAACATAAGCAGCAGCCGAGGCACCAGCGATCTTCGTGAGGAAAGCCTTCCAGTGCAACAAGTCCTGGCAGGTTTGGCAGATTTGTGCGAGTCTCGACCTTTTCCAGATTCAACCACTGCATGCTGAGAAGGTTGCTGCCGGATGCAGCAAGGCATGGGAGTCTTTAGAACACGTCCAACCGGATAAAGGGTCTGTGAGCTCACCAACTGACCAGATTTTCGCGAGGGCCAGCAACGAGCACATCACTCGCTTCCCAGCATGTCAGCCGCTTTGGCAGGTAGAGTCGGTTGGTCCGGACCTGGTCCTCAGTCTGACTGGATGATATTCAACATCACAGCATCAGCCGACGCCTAGCTAACAGCTAGGCTCCCCACCTAGTCGTGCAGCCCTTGCTGCCACCTTTTGCATGCTAGCCGAGGAAATGCCGAAAACTAGATTAAAGCATTTTTGCATTGTCTCCACTGTTGAGCTGTGTCAGGACATGGCAAACTTTCTGCCTCCTCATAGCCCGCAAACAGCTGCCCACAAGCAGCATCGATTCCATGACCGAAGGAATTCCGATAGGAGGAGGAAACACGCTTCTGCCTGAGGCAGCACCGACATGGCAGCTCCATCAGCACCTCACTACTAGAAAAAAACAATGGCAAGAAAGATTGGCAGGCAGGTTGCTGCAGGACTCGCTGGAACTGCGCGACTCCTTCGACACAGAAAGCACACGAACTTCTATCCGCCTTTGAAAAGGTATGCCAGCCTTCAGGGCGAGCTCTGCTATACTTCTCTGGGACGGCTCGACCTCACTTAGAGAAGTTGTTGGGCTGTGACCTGTGGTTACTGGTTAGCTTTATCAAGGCATGCTTGGTTGCTCCGGCTCCCTGAGCCCTCTGCCCACATTGTAGGGGAGTAAGTTGACGTGGTACAAGTACCTGCTGAGGAATCATAGCCCCTCCCAGTCACGCACAAAGCTTGGGCCGGCTTGCTTGGTAGTTTAGGCTCGATCCAACCTCCCCTCAAGCGGAGCAGAGCCAAAGCCGCTCGCACTAGACTCGCAGGTTCGCGAGATTGAGGCGTGCACCGCGTCTCCGTGGGACGATCTCGAATCAGCTGGGCCAAAGCCCGAGCATGGTCTGCGGAATCATTGATGCCCTGCCATTCTCATCAGCTCCGCATGCTCAAAGCGATTTGTTGCGAGCACAGCCCCTTTTTCCGCATGCTGCGCTGCCTGCAGCAATAAGTAGCATATCCAGATGCGCCGGCCAGTGCTGCGAATGCGCTGATCTAGAACATTGAACACCTGCAGCATCACTTGCAGATGATGGTGCCCCTTGCTCAGGTGCTCATTAGGAGGCCTCCTCCATCGGAAACATCCTGTTGAGCGGCCTCGTGGATTCCGGAATGGAGTGACAGCAGATGCAGTCAACGAATCACGGTCACTGCGATCGAAGCGGCACAAGCTTGTTTCTTTCTTCCGTGAAAGGGGAGTGCAAGGAAAATGCCAAATTGACCTGTGGGAACTCCTGGTGGCGCAACTAGGGTTCCGAAACATGTGATAAGAAGACTCCGCCACCTACACATGTCCTCGGTCAGCTTCACGATGCCCGGAAGAACGCCGACAGTCGAAACATTCAACCTGCAAGGCTGCGAGAAGGTACTGTGACCATTCAGAGTTGCAGCCCATTGAACATCTTTTGAGGTCCTCCGTGCCGACATTCCATAAAGCTCCGAAGCTGTGAGGATGCGAAGGGCATCAAATATTTTCGGATTCCCCAAAGGTTCGCCTCAGCTTTGGATGAGGCAGATGTCATACCAATTGAACTCGGCCAAACCGAAACGGTAGAAATGCCCTCGGCCAAGGGCCCATCCCCATGAAGGAGACGCCGTCCACCTCTTTCAGCTTGGTCGTCGAAGCAGATTCAGTAGGTACAGCACGTCATACACAAAAACACACAACTGTGGTTGCATGGGACCGCTGGTCCTTGTGTCCGCGCTGCAGGAAGAGAAGCACCTGCTTCTGGGCAGCACGCATAACGCAAGCTTTGCAGCCCGAATCGCTGAACGGTGGCCATGTTACGGAAAGCTACATTGAAGAGCCTGGTCGCTGATCTCGTCTGCGTCCAGCTGCCGTTTAAAACCCACTTTTCCAGTGGCGCAAAAGGCACACTGGAAACTGCAGCCTACCTGAGGCGGCACACGCGAAGTCTTGCATCGATGGCTGTTGTGCCCACCCAAGCCCGCCACCCCTCCCACAGCAAGGAAAGGCTCACTAGCTTGCTGCTGTAATGTGAACATCAAACTGAAGTTTGCTCAGCTGCGGGACACAGGATTTCCACACACATGCGCGACCCGGTAGAACCGGTTATCAACAACAACAGCGAGACAATTTAGTGAGAATTCATTTCCTGGGATGCTCATTGGATTTTCTCACGGTCGGATATGTGCTTGAAAAAGCCTTGCTCTACATCGGCTGCATTTGCTGGAGCGAGCTTTGACTGTTGGCAAGTTGCGTTGGAGATGACACGGAACCTTGACCAGAATCAATACGTTGGTTGTTTGTTGAAACCGTTAGGTCCAGCGTGGCTCGCAATACTCGAAAATTGGAAAAACAAAGAATTCGGTGATTGCTTCGGTAAACTCAATCGTCTGTTGGGTTCCCGTAGTCGGCACTGCATGGCGTCCAATGGCGGGCGCTTGCTGGAAGAGGTGGATGGAGTTCGCTCCTTCACGCTGCTGGATGGTCTCGGAGCGAAGAGACTGCAGGTCACTTTGGGTGTACCTTATCCGTATCCAGCGCTTTCCAATGCCAATAATGGCTCCATCGCCGAGCTCATAGCAAAGATGGCTCAAGACTCCAGCTTGTAATACCTTCCAAAGTCTTGGCCCAACAAAGCCTATTTAACTTCATGATTTTAGCAGTTGTTGGTAGGCGAATTAACCACCAAGTCAAACATTGGTTGCAACAGATCATCCTTTTCGAGAGTGCGTTGAAGCTGACAATGACAGCAAAGCTTCAAACTGCCTTAGAAGACTTCCCCCCACTATTGAACATTTCCGTATGCTTTGCGTTCCGCTCCTGCCGTCAGCCGGAATCTTCTTGCTCGCGCTCTCGGTCCTCTACAGGTTTTTCTTATGCCCTAGGGCCCTAGGGAACTGTGACTTGCTTGCTCGGAGGAGACGCTTCCTCGAAAGAACGTACAGCTTGCGTGCACGACGGGCATTATCTTGTACTACCATCTATGCTGTGCCAACATTCAAGTCAACACAAAACTGCCTGGAAGGCCCAAGGCTCTCCCAAAGGCACCCGAAGGTTTACGGAAGGGCTGGGTTTCCTGATTTAGACTGCCAGAAATCTGCAGAGGCAGGTTTGGACTAGGTTTTGTGGCAACTGCTTTCCCAGAAGTGCCTAGAAGCTCTGCTGGAAGCTTGCGAAAATTACTAGAGCGCCTTTCGACAAATTTAGATTAAGTTTTGGAGCTGGACTGCTTGATCTACGGCACACCCCTAGTCAAAAGCACTGTCTGATGTCTAAACTCATCAAATCCTGAATCACCCCCAGCTGTAAGGAGTGTTCTCTCATCTCTTCGCGTTTTGGGGCTCTTGAAAGCGTCACCCTCTCATCTTTTCTGATTACGATCCTCTTGCCCCAATCACAAGCAGTGTGCTCGTGTACCTCTCACCTTTTGTCGACAACGGCATGTAGAAAACGTTCGGTCGCAAACGCTGTCCCTCATAATTTCTGGTGCTCCTGTTAAAAACTTTAATATCTTCTGGTGTTGGTATAGAGTGTTCCGCAGTGGCTGTGCTATGCCGTGTCTGGAACAGGGCTTGTCCATATCCGAGAAGGACGCAGTCGCTTTCGTTTACTCGTCCCATGGCAATGAAGGCTTCTTCAAGGTGAAGGTAAAGAACAACAGTGCAAAGCCAGAAGCTCCCCAAAGCCATCAAAGGCTGCGGTTTCTCACATTCTAGACGTGTTGATGTGCGCAACAGAGCTCGTCCGTATCTGAGAAGGACGAAGTCGCTTTGGCTTGCTTGCTTCCGAGACTTGGAGCTCGTTCCATGGCGAGGAAGGCTAGTAAGGAATAGCAATGCAAAGCCATAAGCTGCCAAAGCCATCAGAGGTCTACAAACTTCACCTGACGACGCCCTGCGATCGACAGCTCCGCGAGTCAGAAATCTATGCACAGTTACAGACCTCATGTGCTTGCGCAGACTGCGCGCAGACCTAGAAATGAATGCTTGCATATTGAAACCCACAGTTCCAGCTGCCACACAGGCATGGCTTAAGGTGGCCACGGGAGCGGGGGGTCCCTGGCTCCTGCCTGATCCCCTGTTTTCTTCGGCCCGGAGGTTTCTTTGCCA